TTGTTGCTGTGCGCGACTTTCTGTAGTTGCAGTGAGCAGGGGTTACTCTTCGTTGCGGTGCGCGGGGTTCTCATTGCGGTGGCTTCTCTTGTTGCGGAGCACAGGCTCTAGGTGCGTGGGCTTCAGTAGCTGTGGCTCGCGGGCTCTAGAGCGCAGGCTCAGTAGTTGTGGCACACAGGCCTAGCTGCTTTGTGGAATGTGGGATCTTCCCGGACCAGGGATCGAACCCGTGTCCCCTGCATTGGCAGGCAGATTCTTAACCACTGCATCCCCAGGGAAGTCCCCATCATTCTTTTTAAATTGTTGCACACTTTTACTAAGAATGGCGGTTGTATAATATATTTACCATTCTACTATGGACTTTCAGTTACTTTTAGTTTCTTCCTACTACAGTGTTGGAATGAATATCCTTATATATGTAACCTTGAGTGAGTCCCTGGGACAGGCCACCAAGTGAGGTTCCTTGGCTTTGCACAGGAAAGAATTCAGAGCAAGCCAGAGTAAAGTGAAAGCAAGTTTACTTAGATACACACACCATAGAGTGTGGGCCTTCTTAGAAGATGAGAGGCGGCCACAAAATATGGAGTGTTTAGTTTTTATGGTCTGGATAATTTCATAGGCTAGTGAGTGGGAGGAATCTTCTAAGTATCTTGCGGAAGGGCTGGGGATTTCCAGGAATTGGGCCACCACCCACTTTATGGCCTTTTTGGGAAATTGTGTCATGGCCCCTGCGGGTGTGTCATTTAGATGCTAATGAGCGTATAATGAGGCCCAGGTCTACTGGAAGTAGAATCTTGTGCCATCTTGGACCTAGTCGGTTCTAACCAGTTTATGTTCTTAAATGGTTGTGGCATTCCCTTAATCGTTGTGCCCTGCCCCCTTCCTTCTTGTCTCAAAGCCAGTTACATAATACCTTTGATTTTAGTTCAAGATAATATGCATTCAAATGTAATGCAAAGAATTCTGCATTAGATATTGGCATTTCAGGCTGAAAGGTTTAAGAGAATTTAAGTCCGTAAACCATATTAAGATGTTTGGAATATTTAACATTTATTTTGCCCTTTTATAGGTTTAATTTGTTAGCTTTGTTTTCCAGTCTGCCGTGTCAAGCATTTAAGGTGGTTAAAAAGCAGCTATGTTAATGTAAAGTAGTGTGATCATATTTGTGAATACAATTTTTTTTTTTTTTTTTTTTTTTTGCGTTACGCAAGCCTCTCACCGTTGCGGCCTCCCCCGTTGCGGAGCACAGGCTCCGGACGCGCAGGGCCAGCGGCCACGGCTCACGGGCCCAGCCGCTCTGCGGCATGTGGGATCCTCCCAGGCCGGGGCACGCACGCGCGTCCCCTGCGTCGGCAGGCGGACTCTCAACCACTGCGCCACCAGGGAAGCCCAATAGAATTGTTTTAAAAGGGAGATGGGAAGCCAGCGAGGTCGGTTCCGCCCGACTCCAACATGGCGGCACTCTTTGTCTGCTCTGAAGTGCTGTCCCTGGCCTCTTCGCGGCCGTGATGCATCTCACTCTGCGGTGTCGTCCAGGACGTGGCAGGTAATGAGCTGGAGGAGGAGAGCCAAGCTGGAGTTGCCCCAGACAAATTGTCAGAACAGAGTAGGGTGCGCTACTTGGAAATCTGAGAAACAAGGTAGTGAGACTTCCCTGGTGGCACAGTGGTTAAGAATCCGCTTGCCAATGCATGGGACACGGGTTCTGAGCCCTGGTCCAGGAAGATCGCACATGCCGCGGAGCAACTAAGCCCGTGCGCCACAACTACTGAGCCTATGCTCTAGAACCGCCGAGCCACAACTACTGAGCCCGTGTGCTACTGAAGGCTGCGTGTCTGGAGCCCATGCTCCACAGCAAGAGAAACCACCGCAATGAGAAGCCCATACACTGCAAGGAAGAATTGCCCGTACTTGCCGCAGCTAAAGCCCACAGAGAGCAATAGAAGACCCAACTTAACTTATTGTAAGTAAATAAATAAATAAAATTGTTTTTTAATTTAAAAAAATTGTTTTAAAGGGTTTAATATATGTTTTGAGTTGCTCTAATATTAAAAACCAGTGAAAGTTATTCCTCGTATTTAATACAAAATTATTATTTAAAAAATTAGTTAATTAATTTTTGACTACATTGGGTCTTCGTTGCTGCATGCGGGCTTTCTCTAGTTGCGGCGAGCCGGGGCTACTCTTCGTTGTGGTGTGTGGGCTTCTCGTTGCGGTGGCTTCTCTGGTTGTGGAGCACGGGCTCTATGTGTGCGGGCTTTGGTAGTTGTGGCTCGTGGGCTCTACAGCACAGGCTCAGTAGTTGTGGCACATGGGCTTAGTTGCTCCGCGGCATGTGGGATCTTCCCGGACCAGGGCTCGAACCCGGCTCGAACCCGTATCCCCTTCATTGGCAGGCGGATTCTTTTTTTTTAATATGTATGAACTTTTTTTTAAATTAATTAATTTAGTTTTGGCTGCTATGGGTCTTCATTGCTGCTTGAGGGCTTTTATCTAATCGTGGCGAGCAGGAGGTACTCTTCATTGAGGTATGTAGGCTTCTCATTGCGGTGGGTTCTCTTGTTGTGAAGCACGGGCTCTAGGCTCACAGGCTTCAGTAGTTGTGGCATGCGGGCTCTAGAGCGCAGGCTTCAGTAGTTGTGGCTTGCGGGCTTCAGTAGTTGTGGCTTGCGGGCTCAGTAGTTGTGGCTTGAGGGCTCTAGAGCGCAGGCTCAGTAGTTGTGGTGCATGGGCTTAGTTGCTCTGTGGCATGTGGGATCTTCCTAGACTAGGGCTCGAACTAGGGCCAATGTCCCCTGCATTGGCAGGTGGATTCTTAACCACTGCACCACCAGGGAAGTCCCAATATGTATGAAAATTTTTTTAAAGTTATTTATTTATTTATTTATATGTTGTTTATTTATTTTTTGGCTGCACTGGGTCTTCGTTGCTGCGTGCCGGCTTTCTCCAGTTGTGGCGAGCGGAGGCTCCTCTTTGTTGTGGTGCGCGGGCTTCTCATTGCAGTGGCTTCTCTTGTGGAGCACGGGCTCTAGGTGCGTGGGCTTCGGTAGTTGTGGCACGCGGGCTCAGTAGTTGTGCCTCGCGGGCTCTAGAGCACAGGCTCAGTAGTTGTGGCTCACGGGCTTAGTTGCTCCTTAGCATGTGGGATCTTCCCGGACCAGGGCTCAAACCCATGTCTCCTGCATTGGCAAGCAGATACTTAACCACTGTGCTACCAGGGAAGTCCCTTAATAGAAAATTAGATTTGGAAATCATATTACACAATTTTGAAGCCTTAAAATTAGGTATTGAAATTTGTATCTTTAATAAATTGAACATGTACTTAAATTCTGACATGCTATAAATAACATTCTGTGACCAAAGTCCTCCAATTCCCATTAACAGATTCAGCATTTATTTCTCATGAAATTTTCTTAAAAAAACAACCATCATCATCACCACCACAGAATAACTGTCAGTAAAATATGTTAAGAATTACTGAATACCATAACTCTTGGCAATAGAGTAAGCAAGCAATGTTGATAGCTCCAACTAAGGTGTCAATGGCTCCAGCTAAAGACCATGAAGAAAATGCCTGCAGTTGAAGAAGTGAGATTTATGACTCTCTGTGAGGGAGAATGCACCTCATTGGGAACCATGAGCCATGAAATGTCTCAGCATGAGGGCGTTTCTCTTACTGGGACTCTCCATAGCTATACATTCAATTATAGAATTTGGGGTTTGGTTTGGTCATTTGGGGGAGGGCGTAAGAAAAGGGAGATTTGCGTTTGATTGGTTAGATTGGACATTGTGAGGGAGTAGGGTCGATTCTATGGTTGTTGATAAATCTTTGGGGAAGGCTGACTGGAACAAGGATAAGGCTGTAATTGGTAAAGAAGTAGCAGACATTCTTTTTACCCAAGAGAGGGGGTGTTGGGTGTTTTGCGGGTGTCTCAGACAAATTGTGAAGTGGCTTTGCTTGCTCTCATTTTATCATGGTCTTAGAGTCATCTTGTCTGAGGTTGGTATTCTACGAGACTTATGTCCAACAGGGAAATGATATGGCCTGGTTACGAGTATCAGGCCAGTTTTTGACTGTCAGGGGTTGCTCCTTGCCCTCCACCGTGCCACCCCCACCCCTGCCCACCAGGTGATAGTAAATAGAGAAAAGTAAATAAATTCAAGAGATTTAGCCCACAAGTCTACAGGACCAGATATAGGGTCAGAGGGAATGTCAGCGGTGATTTCTAGGTTGCTGTCTTCTAGAGGGTGGCAATGCTATTCACGAGGATAGCACCAGCTTTGTGTAATCCTTCAACTTGAGACCAGAAATAAAGAACCTACTGTACGACACAGGGAACTTTACTCAGTGCTCTGTAAGGACCTATATGGGAAAAGAATCTAAAAAAGAGTAGATCTATGTATATGTATAACTGATTCACTTTGCTGTACAGCACAAACTAACACGACATTGTAAATCAACCATACGCCAACAAAAATTAATTAAAAAAATATATGAAAAGTTAACATATCATACCCATTTTACAGATGGAAAATTAAAACTTTAGAAAGGTTAAATACCTTGCCCACTGTTGCATGGAATCAGAACTCTGGATTTATCCATTTTGGACATTTCACATAAATGGAATCATACAATAGCTGGTGTTTTGTGTCTGACTTCTTAGCACAATGTTTTCAAAGTTCATCCATTTTGTAGGAAGTGTCATTACTTCATCTATTTATAACCAAGTAAAATACCATGGTACAGATGTACCACATTTGTTTATCCATGTATCAGTCGATGGATGTTTGGGAATTTCCACTTTTGGGCCACCACAAATAATGCTGCTAGATGCTGTACAAGTTTCTGTTTGAACATGTGTTGTCAATTCTCAGATATACGCCAAGGAGTGGAATTGCTGTGTCATACAGTAATTATATGTTAATTTTTTTTTTTTTTTTTTTTTTTTTTTGCGGTATGCGGGCCTCTCACTGTTGTGGCCTCTCCCGCCGCGGAGCACAGGCTCCGGACGCGCAGGCTCAGCGGCCATGGCTCACGGGCCCAGCCGCTCCGCGGCATGTGGGATCTTCCCAAACTGGGGCACGAACCCACATCCCCTGCATTGGCAGGCGGACTCTCAACCACTGCGCCACCAGGGAAGCCCTATATGTTAATTTTTGAGGAACCACCAAACTGTTTTTCATAGTGGTTGCACAATTTTACATTTCCACCAGCCAATATATGGTTCTCATTTCTCCACTTTCTCATATGACAGTTCTGATTTCTCCACATTCTCACCAACAATTGTTATTATTGGTTTTTTGTTTATAGCTATCCTAGTAGGTATAAGTGGATCTCACTGTGGTTTTGATTTGCATTTCCCTAATGACTAAGGATGTTGCGAATCTCTTCATATGCTGACTAGCAGTCTGTAAATCTTCCTGGGAGAAATGTACTCAAGTCTTTCAGCCGTTTTTAAATTAGGTTGTTTTAGGAGTCCTTTATGTATTCTGGATACTGAATATGCAGAGTATATACAGATAATATTTGTAAATATTTTTTTCCCCATTCTGTGAGTCTGAAATCGAATCCTCCTAAAACAAGAGTTCCCCTGCTGAGTTTATGATTAACCTCTCTATCCAAAATTTATCCCCTTTCTTGTCCCACTTCATTCCCCTCAGGATTGAGTCCTATCAAAGAAAAGGGGGGATTGAAAACGACCCTTCCCGGTACAAAAGCCCCACTGTGTCCCCTCTTTCTTGTTTGTAGAAAAAGGCTTTAGTATCTTAGGCCTTCCCTGAGTTCCAAAGAGCAGACTTAAGCATGTACTAATTAGGGACATTCTTAGATTTAGGTATTTGATAAACTTTAAGTTAATTTTTGTGTATATTGTGGTAGAGGTCCACATTCATTCTTTTGCGCATAGATATCCAGTTGTCTCAGCATCTTTTGTTGAAAAGACTGTTCTTTCACCCGCTGCATGGTCCTGGCACCCTTGTCAGAAATCAGTTGAACATAGATGTGTGGGCTTATTCCTGGACTCTGAATTCTATTCCATCATCCGAATTTTGTAATTTAACCTTTTAAAAATCACTTTTGGATTTACTTGAATTTGGCATTTTTATCTCCAAAACTTCCAAAATTATTTATCATTTATTCAGTTGATTGAAATGAGCCAGAATCAAATTTGCTGTGGGAAAAGTTTACTAAACATCAAGAGGGTTTCATAGCAAAGTTATTACAGTGTTAGACTAAGCATCGAGGGTTTCATAGCAATGTTATTACAATGTCAGACTATGTTAGAATTACATGCTTTGCTACTAGAAGCATTTCTAAAGGTATAAACTTATGAGACATTAGGAATCCATTTCAACATATCAGAAAGGGAAATTATGATAAAAATACGAGACACCACATAGCATAAACATACAACATGAATGAATACATGAATAAGGATTTTTAGTATTTAACTCTTCCGCAAATTATGTACAATAAAAATAAAATAATACAGTTATGTGTTCAGCCCTTCCTGTGGATCTGTTTATCTGCGTTGCAAGGGTTGCTAGGTAATAATTGTACAGTGTTATGGTTATTCTGAATATTTTTCTCAGAGTCCAGGATAGTTATTAGGGACAAATGGCCGCTCTCCGCCATGCTGGCTCACACCATTTTACTGGATAAAACACCATTTCCTTGCAATGCTCTGTCATCCTTCCCTCCCAACTATTCTTCTGTCACAGTCTGTTATATCGTCACATTTCTTTGAGAGAGGTGACACATACACACAAAAAGGGGAAAACCTTGACCTGGTTGGCATTGCTGAGGTTCAAAGACCCATCAGAGAGAATAGATTTTTCTGTTCTCAGCATTCAAGCAAGTCCCTTCCAAGCATTCACTAGTTATATGGGAAATGTATAGTTGCAAAACTATGATTTTAAAAGGATCATATATATATATATATATATTTTTTTTTAATTTAGTTTTTATATTGGGCTGGGTTGGGTCTTCGCTGCTGCGTGTGGGCTTTCTCTCATTGGGGTGAGCGGGGCCTACTTTTCGTTGTGGTGCACGGGATTCTCATTGCGGTGGCTTCTCTTGTGGCTCACGGGCTCTAGGAATGCGGGCTTCAGTAGTTGTGGCTCGCGGGCTCTAGAGCACAGGCTCAGTCGTGGTGGTGCACGGGCTTAGTTGCTCCGCGGCATGTGGGATCTTCCCGGACCGGGGCTTGAACCCGTGTCCCCTGCATCAGCAGGCAGATTCTTAACCACTGCACCACCAGGGAAGCCCTTAAAAGGATCTTTTTGCAGATTTGTTACTTGAGGTATACATTCACTTTTAGTGTGTCTTCTTCACAGCCCTCAAATTCATTTTAAGATCCTTTATTATACAAGAGCCTAAAGGTGACCAGGCATTTTCCATACCAAGAAAAAAATCCTCTGTACGTACAAACATAAAAACATACTTCAGACAATTAAAACATGCAACACATGCTTGGATATTAATGCTTTGAAGAGATGGCTTGGGGTTACAATCACCCAGGTTCTCTCATTAGGAAGTTCTGTGGATCACAGGGTGACAGAATTTTGTTCACTTGAAAGTGAGCCCCAATGGAAAAGAGTAGAAAAATTTATCATTAATACCACTGAAAACTCAGAACAAGAATCAAATAATAAAGGATACCGGTTATAAAACATTTGATCCTCTCACCATGCTCCTCAGTATTTACCTTCTGCTTTCTCTCTGCTTAAATGGCAGAGTATTGACACTTAGGGGCTCCCAGGCCCTGCAGTTCTGTCGTTTCCCAGTAGGGGGCGATGCTGCATTTAAAAACTGCACCAGTTGCGGCATTAACCCTGGTGGGTCTGGGTTCCTTCTATTTTCAAGACATTTTAAAAACATCTATGAATACTTTTTTCTAAACTCAGAGAAAGTGAGAGTTGAAGAAAAACAGAATTCTTGAAGGATAGTTCTTTTACCCACTGTCTTCAGAGGTATTTCTTTGTATGTGACATTCTTGAAGGTTGGTATCAAAGTCCCAAAGTACGAAATGCATCTCGTAAGTCATCAACCTCATATAGGGGCTGTGGAGAAAAAGAGAGAGTGGATGACTTTGTAAACATTTTTGAAGAAAGTAAGGGGAGAGGGGCTTCCCTGGTGGCGCAGTGGTTAAGAATCCCCCTGCCGATGCAGGGGACACGGGCTCGAGCCCTGGTCTGGGAAGATCCCACATGCCACGGAGTAACTAAGCCCGAGCGCCACAACTACAGAAGCCTATAGCCTGTGCTCTGTAAAGTTTTCATCAGAGGAAAAATAAGGAGAGAATGATAAATACACACACACACACACACACACACACACACTCACACACACACACACACACGACAATGTGGGAAATATAAGAAAAGGAAGTGTAAGTAGCTCCAGGGATAGATGACTTTGGAGAGAGAAAGAAAATGAGAAGCAAAGAAGACCCTTAACTTACCAAAAGGATGCGTCGAAGCTGTCTGGACAAACGAACCGAATTTTCATGCAGCCCCTCCCAGGCTTTGAAAGTTCTTTCATGATTTTCCACAAAAGTATTCCAGCAATAAAAATAATCTATAAAAAAAAGGAGGGGGAAGGGGATAGCTCAGATCTCAAATCATGAGGAAAGAAAGAAAACCCTGGCTCCGCCCAAAGCCTTGGGTCCAAGCCATTGGTTCTTTTTTTTTTTTTAATATTTTATTTATTTATTTGGTCTTGCTGGTTCTTAGTTGCAGCAGGTGTGCTCCTTAGTTGTGGCTCGCAGGCTCCTTAGTTGCTGCATGTGAACTCTTACTTGCGGCATGTGTGTGGGATCTAGTTCCCTGACCAGGGATTGAACCCGGGTCCCCTGCATTGGGCACGTGAGTCTTAACCACTGTGCCACCAGGGAAGTCCCAAGCCATTGGTTTTTTTCCTCCAATTCTAGTTGATAACTTTTGGCTTCAAAGGCGAACCAGAACTCCCAGAATTCTGCCCCCCTGGTCCCCCCACCCCGCAATCTGAATTGCAAACCGTGCTTTGCTGAGCCGGGCAGAAAGGTCCCTGCGCACCTTTGAAGGTCATAATGGCGATTTGGACCCCAGCGCGGTGCAGCCGCCTCAGCCCCTCGGGCTCCGCTTTGCGTTCCTTGTCGCAGAAGTAGAGGCGCGCTGTGAAGATCCTCAGACTCAGATTGGGGTACCCTCTCAGGAAGTCGGCCACATGCCGCGCGCAGTCGTAGCAGGGGCTCCAAGACGTGAACCAGGTGACACGGTAGCACCGCCCGGGGTCCAGGTCCCAGTCGGAGATGTAGCGGAGGAAGAGCAATTCCACGTGGCATCCCGCCTGGGGAGAGAGCAGAGGGCTCAGTGGAGGGTTACTGACCTTGACTGCCCTGCTGGTAGCTTTACAGTCATTAATTTGTGTCCCTCCCAGGGTGATCTTTTTTGGGGTGTCTGCAGTTTTGTCCTAGGTTACAGGAAGGTTAAGCAACTGCTGGAAAGGACACAGTGTAAGTGGTGAGCCCAAACACTTTGCACTTTTGGCCCTAGGAAGGGAAAAACGTACAGCTTCTCTGTGGAATGGGGAGGATGGAATGAGTTGGGTGGATGAAGGAGAAGCACACTATCTCAGATTTCATTTTTGTTTGTGAAGTTCCTTTTTCTTCCTTGGAGGGGAAGGCAAATGGCTTGGAAGGGCTGTTGATGTAACGTTGTGGAAATACACTGGACCACTAAGTGGAGGTCAGAACATTTAGGGTTAGGAGATAGATTATGAGACTGACAGGTGAGTGTTGTTTTTTTAAAATTAATTAATCTATTAATTAATTTATTTATTATTTTTGGCTGCATTGGGCCTTCGTTGCAGTGCGCTTTTCTTGTTGCACGGCACAGGCTCTAGGTGCGCAGGCTTCAGCAGTTGTGGCATGCGGCCTCAGTAGTTGTGGCTCGTGGGCCCTAGAGTGCCGGCTCAGTAGGTGGGGCACATGGGCTTAGCAGCTCCACGGCATGTGGGATCTTCCTGGACCAGGGATCGAACCCATGTCCCCTGCATTGGCAGGCAGATTCTTAACCACTGTGCCACCAGGGAAAGTCCCTGAGTGTTGTTTTGAGAGAGGTAATAGGTGCCACTGGGGCTAAGAGCAATTAAATACAGGGATACCTATATTGTTGTGCTTGGCTGTATTGGACTTTGCAGATATTTTGCGTTTTGAAGGTTTGTGGCAACCCGGTCTCGAGTACGTCTATCACCATCATTTTTTCCAACAGCATTTGCTCACTTTGTGTCTCTGTGTCACATTTTGGTAATTCTTGCAAATTTCAAATTTTTCATTATTTTATTTGTTATGGTGATCTGTGGTCAGTGATCTTTGTTACCACTATGATTCTCTGAAAGCTTAGATGATAGCAGTTTTTAGCAATAAGCTTTTAAAATTAAGGCATGTACTCTTTAAAAAAAAAATTTTATTTGGCTGTGCCGGGTCTTAGTTGTGGTGCACGGGATCTTTACTTGTGGCCTGCTGGATTGGTAGCTGCATGTGAACTCAGTTGAGATGTGGCATGCGGGACCTAGTTCCCCGACCAGGGATCGAACCTGTGCCCCCTGCGGTGGAAGCGCAGAGCCCTAACCACTGGACCGCCAGGGAATTCCCAGCAAGTCCCCTTAATACTGCAGAAAAGTCATTAGTCCCAGAATCTGAAGACCCAGGTTCCATTTCCTGGCATCGCCACTCTTGTGACTTAAACAAGTCACCCAACTCTTGGATCTCCTGATTCTTCATCAGCGGAATGAAGTTTGGTTGTGAGGATTAAATGAGAGGGAAGGAAAGGGTTGTTAACACAAAAGCTTTCTATGTTTAGAATGTGTCTTATTACCAAATAGGAAAGAGATTAGAATGTAAAACAATTGCAGTGAGATAATTTACACAATACAAATGGAGGCCAAAAAAATTGGAGTGTAAAACTAGCCCTAGAAACTAGCCAGTGTCATTCCACCCTTGGATTCTTCCCTGGGATTCCACCAAGACTAGATGTCACTGCATGTTATGAGAGGAAATATTCATTGGCAGAAGAGTATGTGAACCCATCTGGGTTTTGGTGAAGAAGTCTCTTGGAAATGTAATTCTCTGATCTTCAAGTTTTAATTAAAGGCTTCCCTGAGTTTTCTGAGGCTCACTATTACGTATGTACTTACTGGCCTCTGATCTAGGTGAGCAGGAAGGAATAGAACTCATTTGGAAGACAGAATGGAGTCATTAATTTTTCCTAAATTTTTCTTCCTTAATTTTTTAAAATTCTAAAGCCACAGTTTGTTTTTCCACATTTAAAATTCAGCTTGAATGAGCTGTATATATTCCCCCAAATCAAAAGCCTCTTTCTTTGGATATCTTCTTTAATCTTAAAGGCAATTTGGATGCTGGGGAAAGGAGAGGAAGTTTTGGGGCAGTTATTCTTGGCATTGAAGCAAGGTGTGGCCTTGATGTGCTCAGCATGATTGGGGAGGACATTAAATGACACCCTTTGGGGTATTTCTACTGTGGTTGCAGGGACATGTAAAAAAGAGATTTGAGGAATCTAGTGGAGACAAATGAAACAGGCTGAAAGTGGTACCATCAGCAGGTGGCTCTAAAAATGCCCTGCTTGGGAAGCAGGTATTAATTGATACCTTGTTTCGAAGGTGCCCAAAGTCCAGTGAGAAGGAGGTGGCGCTATCCCGTCGCTTCACCACGTAGCACAAGTAGGTTTCATGGCGGCCCTTAGCCCAGCGCACGTTTTTGAAGTGGTAAAGAAACTTCCTCCTCTTCATCAGGAGGCTGTGGGTGAGAGGAGGGAGGAAGTGCGGGAGCATCGCTGATCCTCTGGTCACTCCTGGCTTTCCTTCAGCTTTTTAAAAAAAATCTGTAATACTTGGGCCAAACCAAAGGAGATGCTCTTGCTTCCCTTTGTTGGATGCCTGAGACTTACTGAGCTTGGAATCCATTACAACCCCCTTATCATGCTTATATTTAAGACCAGTTGAGACAGCAGGAAACCCAAAGCCAAACGCTCACAGGACGGGCTCCTCCCATGGCTGCCTTCTAGATGCTTATAACTTGGAATTACAAACCTGTTCCCCAGTCCCATAGTGATCTGTTCAGGTTTCCCCTCCAATCTCTATCTAAATGTCCAGCATGGACCTCTAACTTATGGGGTTAACACAGTATTCCCAAATTGCCCTTTCCTGAGCTGCCTCTCCTCTCCTACCGACTTTCCGTCCCAAGTAACCAGGCTAAAAGCTTGGAATCATTTTTGATTCTCCTTCACTCCTCATATTGAATTAATTTATTAATCATCTAAATTTATTGAGTCAAACTTTCAAATATTTCTGGATTTGTTCCTGCTCTACTTCCTCTGTTCTCTGCTTCAGTCCAAGCTCTAATCTTTCCCTTTATCCATTGTCCTGACCTCTTAACTGGTCTTTCTGCCCACAGTCCCTTCAAAATAACATTTTCCACGAGGTGCTTGAGAGATCTCACAAAAGCCCAGGTGTGGGCCTGTCATTCTGATACCGAAAAGCCCCTAACTTCCGCTGGTAGAATAAACTCCAAACTCTTTAATGCAGTAAAGCTTTTACATCTGGACATCAATCTACATTTCTAGCCTCGTTTCCTAGTATTTTCTCTTTTCCGCATCACTTCAGCCTCCCCGCCATGCCTACAGCAGGACCCCTGGCACTAGTCTTTTCTTTCCAGCCACCTGACTGCAAGCTTCCCTGCCTTTTTTTCCACTGGGCAAAACCTACCCATCCTTCAAAGCCTTAATCACAATTTCAGACCTTTCTCACTGCCACTATGCCAAAATTTCTAGGCAAAATCGAACATTAACAGCAACAAAAAACCCTCCCGTAGTTTCCTACTGTTCTCCGCTTATCCTTATCAAAGCATTCAACCTTTGTTATCAATTGATTGCTACATCTGTCTCCTCAATTAGAATTTCTGTGTTTTGAGTCAGGAAGTGTCACTTTTTGAGTCATGCTTTTTAAAAATATGTCAACTTGCATACTACTAAAAAGTAGAAAGTTAAAATTTTTTAAATGCTTAACCAGTATATCTAGTGATAATTAGACATACTATCTAATGATAATTACTGTTAATATACTTACGTTTTTCGTTCTAGTCTTTTTTATAGGCATGTATTTACAGGATTTAGATTAGGCTGATTTCCTGTGTAAATTTGTAATATAACCTAAATATTTTGCAATGTTCTTCACACACTGTGTGTGTGTGTGTGTGTGTGTGTGTGTGTGTGTGTGTGTGTGTGCAGGGCGGGTTAGGGGAGGGGCGGATTGCACTTTGTTTCCCAGCACAGTGTCTTGCATATCATAAGCACTAAATTGAGTTGAATTTGTGGAAATACTCTCTAACACAAGTTTCTTTGTGGTTGTGAACACACCACAAGCTATACAGTGCGGTTGATACCAAAGCATCAGGAGTGAGTGTCCCTGGTTTTTGTCCTTGGACTTTTCCAGAAATGTACTTATCTAATCTGTGGAGATAATGTTGCCACCTAGTGGCAATGAGCAGAAGTGCAGAGGACTTGTCAAAGTAATGACCTAGTCAGTAATTTGAATACGGTTTGCTGGCAAGAGAATTGAAACTTTTTTCAATTTTTTTTTTTTTTACATTGAGGTATAATTTACATACTTCGCCCATTTAAAATGTACAATTCTATGAATATTGGCAGATGTAAACACCCAAAACTGCTACCACAATCAGGATACAGAACATTTTCGGGGCACCCCTCCCCCACAAGTTTCCTCACCCAACTTTTCAGTCAATTCTTCCCCTCCCTCCCAGGCAACCACTAAACTGCTTTCTGCAACTATAAATTATTTTCTAGAATTTCATATAAAGCACACATTATTTCCTCCTTTGTGTCTGACTTCTTTCACTAAGCATGTTATGACTGTGACATTCATTCCTGGTGTTGCATCTATCAGTATAGTTTGTTCTTTTTTACGGCAAAGCAATATTCCATGGCTTAGATACAGCACATTTCGTTTAGTCATTCACCTGTTGATGGACGTTTGGATTGTTTCCATTTGGGGCTATTGTGAATAAAGCTTCTACATTGATGTACTAGTCTTTGTATGGACATACGTTGATTATTGATATTTTAATAATGAAATACATGAGATAGACCCTGAAGTCAAGTTCTCAAATGTCACTCTTATTAAGTAGATAAGCAAGTGCTGGAGATTTTTAAAGCTCTTGCAATTTGAATGTCTTCCTCACACACATGAAGGTTATTGGAATCCACTTTTTTTTTGGGGGGGGGCCATGCTGCAGGGTATGTTGGATCTTAGTTCCCCCACCAGAGATCGAACCTGTCCTCCCTGCAATGGAAGCACAATGTCTTAACCACTGGGCTGCCAGGGAAGTCCCTGGAATCCACTTTAAATCCTGAGGCAGAGATGGTGATACATCTAAATCACCAGTATATACATTATGTATGTGAAACCGTATAAAAATTAGTCAGATTTTTAGAATTAAAAATGCACATTTGACAGGAATCCGAAATGGATGCTAACAAAGATCTAATAATAATTGGCTTAATTTAATTAATTTATTATTATTATTATTTTGCGGTACGCGGGCCGCTCACTGCTGTGGCCTCTCCTATTGCGGAGCATAGGCTCCGGACGCGCAGGCTCAGAGGCCATGGCTCACGCGCCCAGCCGCTCCGCGGCATGTGGGATCTTCCCAGACCGGGGCACGAACCCGTGTCCCCTGCATCGGCAGGCGGCCTCTCAACCACTGCGCCACCAGGGAAGCCCAGTTGGCTCTATTTTAAACTGATAATAGTTCACACGGTGATCACCACAGCACTACCTCTGTTACTATTACGATTGTTAAATAATTAACATAATCAGCCTCAGCACAGAACATAAACCGAATACATAATACATGCTTAATAAATACTGGAGTGGAAGAAAAAACATTCTGTCTTTCGGGCCCAGTTTTAAATAGATTAAGCATAATCTCTTCATATCTTATTCATTCATAATTCATAATCTATACCAGTAAATTCCTTTTACATTTAACCTGTCTTCCTGGAGTGTGTGGATGTGAAGTGGAGAAAGGGGGACTATATGATGCACTGTACGTGGTGTGGGAGCCCTGTTCCCATGAGGAGTAAAAAAGTGTCCTGGGAGTATAAGAAAGGACAGGACATAGACTAAGGGATTCACATAGCCTTCTGTCTCCTACCCCACATGAAAATACAGTAGCTCTGTTTCCATCAGAAGTTACCAGTCACAGTGAAGTGAATTGCATGACCATGGCCTTGTTAATTAACTATCTTGATCCATCACTTTCTTTTACTATAGCTGGGGGCCTATGTCCAGCACCCTATGCTCCTCTGGTTTCTCTTAAGTGTTCGGAGGACTCAGCAGAGACAGTCTGTAAGGCCTGCAGGTTGACAGCTGCACAGGACAGCTGTGTTCCCTGAGGCAGAACACTGGCTGCATCCCCAGCAATGCAAACCGGAGACAAATGGGTTAAAAATAATCGTGACAAGGTCACGCTCTCCCGCCGTGTGCCATTACTACTGTGCTCTGCAGATAGTATTTTCCTTAATGAAAATCACGTATTTCCCTTTTTCTCCTGTTGAATTTCATCTCCTTTGCCTTCTCTGACTTTCTCTGAATTGCAGCTCTGATTTTACCATTGCTTTGCATTTCATTATTTACAGGTATCTCCACTGAGGCTTTTTTCTCTCTCTTTTACCTCAGATTAGTTTTCAAAATCTCACTGTAAACTGAGCTGACATTTGACATTTTTACCCTCAATTTTCTGAAGGACATTGAATCTACCCTTAAGATTCTTAGCTCTGTAGTTTAAATTCTTTGTAAAAGATTAATTTGAGATAAAGTATGGATTAGGTGTAAATTTTCCTACATTTGCAATCATCAAAAATAGGACTAGATTAAGTTCTATGACAGTAGCATACTTGTCATAAACTTCATGTGAAGACATTGTGAAAATCGTACAAAAGACACACTGAAGAAGTAAGTTAAGTCATGTCTGAAGAAATGGAAAGACTAGGTAAATAATAAATACCATTTGCCTAACAATTGGGCCTTTAATATTAAATAAGTTGCTTGACTGATTTATCTCCTTATAATAGTAGACAGAGTCATAGTGACCTGCAAGCAATTAATTTTGAATATTGGCATTTAAAAAATAATTTCTTGACTGTGTAATTATTCAGTAAAGTCTCCCTAGTAAAGCTTTTCTTCAAGGAGTTTCATAGTTGAATGTTTACAGAATGATTACATAGTATTACATAGTATTACATAGTATTGCTGTGAGCTTTTCATGATTTCAGTCTCTTAACATTTGCTTGGTTCATATTACTACCAGAAACTAGTTCTAACTGCAAGGACAAGTCAATACATAGTGCATAAAAGTTCTTTTGACTATGGGAAGAAAAGAGAAAGAGACAGTTGGGTGGAAAGCATGTTAAAATCTGAACAGAAGATGAGACAGAACTAGAAAAATAAATGTGCATCTTGACCAAGCAGATCTTGTGAGTCAGACAGTGACAGGGGAGAAGGGGAGAGTTTACCCATCTTATTACTCAGATTTGCTCTGAGAGGAAGGCCAAACACAACCACCCACGAGCCGGCTGCTTTACCTGTCCATGGTGGACTCCAGCGTGGCTTTCTTGGCTCCCTGAAAGTCTTAAGAAGGGAAGCTTTCCTCCAGCACTGCTGCTGCTCTGGCTGACAGTGCATGGGCCCTACACATTCAAATTTGAACTCAGTCCTTTACGCCCCTCCCCACAACAACATTACCACCACCAGGCAGCCTTCCTCCTGTGTGGGTCCAGTGAAGGTGGGCGGGGTTTTCACAGGCCAAATCACATAGTTCAAATGATTGAGGGCCACTCTGCCTAACGCGTAGGTTCCTTTAGGGCTGCCTCTTTAAAAGTCCAGTCCATGCTCCACAGGTAATATAGATCAGGAGATGGGAGGAGTAGTCAGTTTGTAAATTGTAATCATGGTAAAGTGATATCTTTAATTTTAGAAGCATAATAATAATCATAGTAACTTTATTTATTTATAGTTTTTTATTTATTTAATTTATTTATTTTTGGCTGCATGGGGTCTTCGTTGCTGCGCACGGGCTTTCTCTAGTTGCAGCGAGCGGTGCGGTGCGCGGGCTTCTCATTGCCGTGGCTTCTCTTGTTGTGGAGCACGGGCTCTAGGCGCGTGGGCTTCAGTAATTGTGGCACACGGGCTCAGTAGTT